TTTTTTTGTACTCTGTACTTTTTTTACAATACTTTTGGAGAAGGGCGTGATTTCCAAATTACTATACATTTGTTTCCTAATAAAAAATAAGTAATTAAAAATCTTATTACAATGCAGTAACTTAGTTAAATTGCATTACATCACCTCGTAGCCTACAATAATAGCCGTGTAACTTGCTTTCACACATACCTTAATTATCAAATTAATTTAAGTTTCCAAGACAATGTAAATGATGAGTCGGTTCACTATAAACAATGGTTATGGCCATAAAGATAACAAGGCAGGGTGAAGGTGGTAGCATTAATCTCTGTGCGGTGTAACGTTTGTTCGGCTGACAGCGTTCATTAGGGCACAAAAGAGCAGTCTATCAGCTAGTTTCCGCGGGACCTTGGACGAGCAAATTGGGGGAGCTATGTGGATGAGTCAGCTTAGGTTGATGTAAAAGTAAAGAACGAGAGATGGCCTTGACAAGACACTCATCAAAAATATGCCAGGCCTTTAAACAGGGTCTGGCATGATAACCTGTTAAACAAACCTCCAGAGTACGGATTTTTTGATGGCTTGGCGATTTCTTAGGGAACCAGGTCAAATTGTAGATGGCTACCCATCTTCTGCTCACGGTACTAATGTCAGCGTGTCTCAGTGAACCGTTGACTACTTCATGGTCCACATTATCGATCTATTATTGATGCCCAGTACCTATGGGTTTGCAGGCAATAGCATAGTAGCGGAGAGCTGTTTCTGATGTCTTTCAGATCCACTTCAGAATCACACGATACTTCACTCCAGAATAGCTTTAATTCTTTATTAAGCACAAGTTCGGTCGTGCATAGAGTATTACTATCACTTTTGGGACAGCTCTATCCGATACTAATCGGCTGCTTTGGATTCGTTGGCGCAAAAAGCTAAGAGACTAAATAGTAATGACTTTATTGTGGAGTCGAACCTTCGAATGCCGCACGGTGGTGCGTTCAGCAAGACGTTCAAGGTTTGAGTGTGTCTTATGTTGGGTACATCCAACGCAAGACGCAATGTACGCGCAAACCTTGAACGCCCCGCTGAACGCACCACCTTTGTGAATTTGTGGTCTTACTTCTTTCGGTCTACTTGGATGTCCAGAACACTCCATCTTTATTTCATTGAATAGAAGAATATAATAGAATAATTTATTTCATATCGAGTTCTTAGGTTTTCGCGATTGTTACACATAGGAAATGGAACTATTTTTCCGGATTTAAATCGCGTATATTTGTTTTTTCAAACAAACCGACGTTTCGGGCCCTTTACAGGTCCCATGGTCACGGTTGACTGAGGTAGTACAGTCTTCAACCAGTTATGTCTAATATTGATGCAAACCACCTTATTTTTTCACTATAGTTACAATAGTTAATAATTAAATACCTTATTTTTAATTTTACAAAGAAAACATTCCAATTTACGCTACATTAAGTTTTACAAATTATTTTATTGAAGGAATTTTTATTAAGTTAAATTTATTTTTAATTAATAATAGAAATTAGAATAAACTAAAACATATTAATTAGTACTGCAGTCTTATGTTTGTTTGGGATTTTTCATCAGAGAAAATACAGGATCCCAAACTGGTGTTACGGAGAAACCATCTTCCCTGTTGAAATTAGGATGTTTTTTTATTTCAATGACCTCTCGCAGCGTCCTGGGTAGATAACGGACTTCTTTTGCAAGGACCTGGGGTTTGCCAAACTTCATTGAATGTGTAGGTTTATCCATGACATGGTCGCAGACTGCAGACTTGTTTACGCGACGGTGTTTGACATCAACTATATGTTCTTTTTTATTTATTATTATTTGAAGATCCCAACGAAGGACTAAACCCCAGAGAGGTCCGAGTCTTCACAGATGGATGTAAAACAAACTCAGGAACAGGTACTGGGGTATTCTCAGACGACCTCAATATCAGGATATCAGCACCGCTTGGTGACCACAACACAGTATTCCAGGCTGAATGCATGGGCATCAAGTTGGCGGCAGAAGCAATCATAGCGAGAAGAGTAAAGAACTACTCCATTCGAATACTCTCCGACAGTATGTCAGTACTTCAAGCACTGAATAGCTATGACATAAACTCAGGGCTCATTTACGAATGCCATCAAGCACTCATGGAGGTATGTATACAAAACCACGTAACTCTTCAGTGGATTAAAGGACACAGCGGCTCACGTGGCAATGACGCAGCAGATGAACTAGCCAGGAAAGGGTCGGAGACGGACGCTGTAGGACCAGAACCGATAGTGTCCCTCCCCTGCCAATGGTCCAGAACAACTATACACAAAGGTACAAAATCTTTACATAATAATACATGGACCACCCTTACGGTTTGTAGACAGGCGAGGGAAGCACTCCCAACGCTCAACGCCAGTCTATCTCGAATACTAATTAAACTTAAAAGGCAATAACTTCGCACTCTAACTGCCGCTCTAACGGGTCATGGTCCATACAATAAATACCTTTTCAATTTAGGTATCACAGACAGCCCCCTATGCCGAGCGTGGCAGGAGGGGGGAGGAAACGGCTGCGCACATCCTACTTCAGTGCTCCGGCGTGGCCAACTACAGGGCAAAATAGCTTGGAGTGCCAAGGTCGCTCCCCGAAGTCTTCAGCAAACCAAGGAGGCTGCTGAGATTTCTGGAGGAGCTTGGGTGGCACGAGTAGGACCCTGCACCCACCACACGCAAAATAGGCGCTTTGTCGTCGAGTTGCGGATACCAGCCCGTTGCACCAAGTACCAAGTACCAAGTATGTTCTTTGACGCGGGTACAAATACTTCGCTTTGTATGTCCAATATAAGAGAGACCGCACTCACAGTCAAGCTTGTAAACTCCTGCATCCTGTAAGAGGATGTTACATTTCACGGGTCTCAGGAACTGAGAAATCTTCCTCAGGGGCTTGAAATAGGTCTTGATGGATGCACGCCTGAGGACTCTTCCGATCTTGTCTGTAACACCTCTCACGTAATGCGGCGTTTAAACGGCGCGCAAACACGCGAGCCGAGCCTGGCTCCGCTCGTGGTTCGCCGCGCCACGCGCTGTGTAAACAACTGCGCTCGGCGCGGCTCGGCAAAGTTCGCACGATCCATCACTTGTCGGTTTTTTCGACACAGATCAAAGGCGCGCGCGCCATCTGCGGCTCGGCTTGTGTTAATACGCGCCGTCTAAACAGATAACACAGAGCGCGCGACGAAGGAAGACCTATTTTGTTTTTTTAGCGAAGTTTTTAATTGGGGATTGGTTTTGTACGAGATGGAGTGGAGCAACGAGAAGATTCAACTCTTCATTGAATTGTATGAAGAGGAACCGGCCATATGGAACCCAAAAGACCCAGGTCACAAAAGCCGCAACAATGTGCACGATGCTTGGACAAAAATAAAAACTAAGTTCTGTGAGGGGATCGGGGAAAGTATATCAGCGGAAGAATTAAAGAAAAAGAAGGATTTAATGGCCACTTACAGAAAATTAAATACGAAAGTGAAGTCAAGTTCAACAAGCGGGAGTGGTACGGATGACATGTTTAAACCTAATTGGCCATTTTACGAACAAATGGCCAAGTTCCTGCATGGTGTATACAAACCAACAAAAACGAAGAGTTCAGAGGTGAGGAACTATCTTTTTAATCTTTATTTAATTTTTTTATGTCCGGTTAAGGGCCGGATAGGCTGGATACCGGATAGTAATGCCTTGATCACTCGTACCGAGTAGAGTGGCGAGACAGTAAATAAATGTAGGTCCCAGTGACTCGGCCGAGTGAAACTCCATAGTCTCCATACTTCGTTTTACTGTCTCGCCAAATTTGATATACGAAATATCCGGATCCCAATATTAGCGGTTATTGAAAACCCTAGGTACGTGTGATTGGGGTGTAACCGAATATTCGGTACATCTCTAGTTTTTACTATTAAAACATGAGTAAATATCAAGACCAATTTAATATTCATTTTGCCAGCTCGACTGTTGGTGGTTTCACACGGGGCCTGCGGCATTGTCGTGGAATCTTCAACTTATTCGCATGTAGGACTTGCTTTATATGCTGAAGTTCCCCTGCCAGATGATTACTGTCTCAGACACCATGTGCTCTCTGAAACAAAGATTTGCCCACGGTAGCTAACTGGCTAGGATGGTGATGGGAATTACCATTGAGATACCTATCTGTATGGGTTTTCTTTCGAAATACAGTATGGCCTAAGGTGTTATTAAGATTTCTTTTAATTAAAACATCTAAGAAAGCTAAAGTACCACCATTCTCTTGTTTCATAGTAAATTGGATCTTAGTACTATAAGAATTAAGATGGTCCAAGAAAGAAGGTATGCTATCTTTAGGTAATATTGTGAAAGTATCATCAACGTACCGTTTGAAAATCTTCACATGTGTAGAAGTGTTCCCTAATAGATAGTAGATGTAGATAGGGTCGTATTCTAGAACTCTACTCAATACTCAAGTCAGGACTTGAGTATTGCAGTGAGCACTGAAAATCATACTCAAGTCCTTGCCATTAGGGTCGTATTTCCAGTGCTTGAAATCATACTCAAGTCTGCTCAAGTCCGGACTTGAGCATTGAGTAGAGTTCTGGAATACGACCCTTAAATTAAGTTATATTAAGAATAACATTAACTAAGCATTGTGAAGATTGTGAAGAGAAGAGAAGAGAAGAAGGCAGTAATCTCTGATTGTAATCAAGTGAATTATTTGTAGAGAAGCAAATAATCTAAACCATGGTTCTCTACATCAGAGGATTGCTAATAATGATTATATGATATCGAATAGAAGTATTGAAGAAAGTTACAGTATTGAATGAAATACTATAAACACATGGTAAATGGTTATTTGTGTGAACTTCGAGTATCAGTTGATAAGAATTTTTTTTTCTAAAATTCTTTGTTATAGAACCCCCAGACATAAAGAAAACAAATTAGTATTAGAATAATTCAAAACTTTTATTGATGATGAAAATAAAATTCGGCATTTAATTTTTTCAAACCGGATGTGTTTTAGTAACACAATTACAAACAAAAAGATTTGTTTTAGTCCTGAAAAAAAAAATGCGTCAAAATTAATAATGATTGCGTTAAAAACTTACACAGCTTACAAAAGATGTTTATGAGTAGGAATAACAAAAAATAACAAAGGTATTTGATAATACTAAGGGTCCGTTATAATTCATTTATACATATGTATACTCCGTATAGAACATGCGTTTTCCAGGTCTCCATTGGTATTGCAGGCAGAGATGGTATATGGTAATGTCTGATATAAAGAAAATTTGATTAGATTGGTCATTGTGACACTAATTAAAAAAATACAAAAGACAACAAAAGAGGATATAAACAAAGCAAAGAAAGAGTATAAAAAAATAAAAAATGTAGCGATATATGTAGAAGAAAGGAAGACTTTGAAAGAAAAACATGTTTGACAGAAGGTTATTTGATGAGTTGCGAAGCAACATTAAATTGTTTTAGAGGCCAATGAGAGTAGCTAGAATCACAGTTAGAATCTCGGAACTTGTAAAAGAAATGTATGGTGAAAGGAGAAGTGTGATTCAAGAGATTAAGTGAATACTTTGAAAGTTTAATCAAAGAAAAGACTAGGCAAAAGTCTTAAGAAAGAGGCACTTCTCTCTCTCTTGAAACTTGACAGTACAAGTGCAGGCTTAGATAGCTATGGACAGAAGTCAAGATGAAAGTACGAGCATGACAAACATTATTGAAGGGCTGGAAAGTATAAAATCGGGTAACGCAGTGGCATTTGATTGAATTTTCGTTGAAATGTTGAGACCATGACAGGGTGTAGTACCTGATCAGCTGTGCCGCCTTTTAAAACTTTTTGGAATAGCGACGAAATACAAAGAGACTGGTGCAAGGTTATCAACGTACTACTCTAGAAAGGACAAGAGACGCACAAAACTGTAAAAATTACCGCGGATTTCTGTAATAATAATAACAGAATAACCTACATTATGTTGTTTTTCTAATTAGAAATTTACGTACCAATCTTATCCAAATATGTATATTTAAAATACAAGGCAAAGACACGGTAAGGCAAGGCAAGGGTACAATTGTTTATTATATAATTTGTTATTGATATGAATGTGTAAGCGAATCATAGGTTTGAAGTTAAAGTCTTTAAATACCAGAATGACATGCGTAATTTAAAAAGTCTGATAAAAGTACCTAAGAATGATATACGCCATTAAACAGTGTGTTATCTCCTGCCTTTAGGACGAAGACAAACGGATGGTTCGCTGTAAATTTGGCTGGCGGGGGCATGCTGAGAGCTACTGGTCTGAATGCTGAAAATAACAATTGTGTTGAATTGGTAAATATGTACAATGAGCTCGAGTACTAGGAAGGATTTAACTTTCTTGTTGGAGACCCCTAGAGGTCATACTACATATCAACTTGGACGAATTATAAAATGGAAATTGAAAAATCTGCTTATATGGATTTAAAAGCGATGACAAAATATGTTGAAATGAAAATGTGAAACGTAGTTACAACGTAAATATTATTATTCCAGTTTGATGCAATTATCTAAGAATGATATACGCCATCAAGGAGTATATTTCCTCCCTCCTTCAGGAAAGAGACAAACAGATGGTCAGCTAAAAATTCATCTAACTGAAATATTGTTAAACTTTCAAGATCTGCTTGGAATGCTGATAATGAACAGCAATTGGGCGGAAAGAAGAAAAGAACAATACTTGCGACAGGACAAGAGTAATAAAATGTATATGGAACGAAACGAAGAATTTTTGATAGTATTTCTTTAAAATTAAATAATACTCTTAATATAGTAATGTATCCCAAATGACTTCACCACGTTCAACCTGTCTCCCAAATGCAAACCACAAAAGGCGGGCTTGAGAACTGTGATTTATTTATCGAGACAAAGAATAATAACGTTATTTTGTAGATGCATAAGTAGATTTTTGCTTTATTTATTCGACTAATATTTATTGATTTTATTGAATAGCGGTGACTACACCGCTATTATATAGTACTTATTATTATTATATAGTTGGTACTAACCAAAAGTCCTAAAATCTGCCCGATCGCAATACTATTAAATTATCATGAAAATATTGCAGAATTGTGCAAAAAACTTTGCAACTACGAGTACTATAAAAGCGTTTTTGATCAGCACAAAGTCATAATCATTCCGGCACATCTCACCACGTGCAAAATAAGAAAACAACCCCAATCCTAATAAGAAAATGCTTTTAGCTATTAGTACCTAAGAGTTAAAAACTCAATTAAAGAGAATATATTGTCTTCCCTTCAAGAAAAAGATGAACGGATGATCGCCTAGAATTCGGGGCGACCCCAACGTACAGATGAGGGATAATAATATGCGAAGTGAAATGCTGCAATTATATGCTTAGGAATGAATTTTATAAAAAACCGCCCTCAAAAGTTTGTGGAATTATACCTATATAGCTGTAGGCCAAGTTTTATTAAAATCGGTTAACGGAAAGTGGGTGAAATCGAATAAACCGTATTCATCCCCTAATTTGCCACCCGTAGAGGTGGAATATTTTCTTTAAATTTCAATGGGATCACTACCGAGGTACCCCCTTTCCAACAAAAAAAAAAAAGAATCATCGAAATCACAATCGTAACAGTGCTCGCGTAACATACACACAAAAAATATGGAACAAGTCGAATTAAGAACATTTTCAGGAGGTTAGGTAAGGAACAGTTAATTTTGAAATAGTTTTTTACGATAAGATGCCACGCTATAAAGAAAATAGACGCCATCTACATTTACACATACAACATTCCACTATTATCTCTCGGGGTAGGGTTTAACATAATTACTATGCATTATGCATAAAATACATAATTATGATAAATTGATGCTTCCAGCTAAGAAAAATCTAATGATGAACGAAAATGTATTGATGAAATATGGTTAACGAACGGGGAATGTGAATTTTAATTATTAATTATTTTGGGCGTGGTTAATTTCACAGTCTTCTGCATAGAACAGAAATATCATTAATTTTTTATCAGCAATGCATTACACATGCTTTATTTTAGTGTAAATGTTCCCAAACTTTTTGGCTCACTAAGAAAAATTAACCACCGCCACAAAAAATAATTGAAAACACATAGTTTTATATTAACTTAATACAAAAAGGAAATTATAAGGAAAAAATATATGTATATGTAGTGTCGTTTATATAGATAATTCAGGTTTTTTTTCTTCAAATTCGGTAGCACCCGTTGGAAGCATCAGCGACCCACAATTGCCCCCGAGACCCCTATGACTCTACTTCCCTAGGACTCTTCAGCCTCACACACTTTGGAAAACTATGTTTTATAGTACTTATTTGTTTGAAGTACCTAAATACGAAAAACTCCATTAAATATTATATCGTTTTCAATCTTTAGAATATATACGAAGGGATGATCTGCTTGGAATTGTTGGTCGAAGTAGGTATTACAGAAATATGCATATTTCTGTAATTTAAAAAGAAATATTGTTTGAAAATGTCTGAGAGCAAACTAGTGGCGAGTAAATTAATCACCAAAATTATTATGTTTTATTAAAGTTATCTATTGATAACTGTTTGTGTCGCGCAACTTACGTCACTATGATCGAATTTCGCTATTTTGAAAAATGCCGTGTTTGTTGTATTACTGGATAATTTCTGTACTGAGATTATTTTATGTACATGGTATACTACCTCAGCTCAAATATAATTTTTTCCGTACAAATAGAGTTCATTGTGCTTGGGTCGAGCGGCTTTATTATTTATTATAAATTAGAATTTATTTTATTATATATTAGAATTTATTTTTTTACGAACGAAATTAAAGCCATTTGAAAAATGTATAATGTATAGTATACGTGTTCTATTTAGATCAGTTATATAAAAAAAAATTGGTATAAGTCAAGTACTTATTAGATACAACGGTTTTCTTGTAAACGTTCGAGATAAGTTTGTTTTCATTTTTGTAGGGAAAATTTTTATGAATCGTGTTTTCACACTGTATTATTATCAGTGTATATTCTGAATTTTACTATATATTTTTTCAAAAGTGATTGGTTCAACACTTTCACTGTTATGACGAATCAACCAAAGTAATTTGAGGTAGAATATACTTTTAAGGCCACAAAAAGACATAAATATTTTTAATATTATCGATTTCAATGTCAATGAGCATTATTCTAACACTGAACAGTACCTTACAATATTATTGCAAAAACATGCAAATTTTATTGTTAATTTACGAGTATAATTACTGCAACACGTATATGATCGGATCATCAAGAAATATTTGTGAAATATGTTAACAAAGAAAATGAAACTATTTTCCCGGATTTAAATCGCGTATATTTGTATTTCAAACCAACCGACGTTTCGGGCCCTTTACAGGTCCCATGGTCACGGTTGACTGAGGTGGTACAGTCTTCAACCAGTTATGTCTAATATTGATGCAAACCACCCTATTTTTTCTCTATAGTTACAATAGTCATAAATTAAATACCTTATTTTTAATTTTACAAAGAAAACATTCCAATTTACGCTATATTAAATTTTACAAATTATTTTATTATATTACGACACCGTCGTGTAAACAAGTCTGCGGTCTGCGAGCATGTCATGGATAAACCTACACATTCAATGAAGTTTGACAAACCCCGGGTCCTTGCAAAAGAAGTCCGTTATCTACCCAGGATGCTGGAGAGGCCTTTGAAATTAAAAAACATCCTAATTTCAACAGGGAAGATGGTTTCTCAGTACCACCAGTTTGGGATCCAGTATTTCCTCTAATGAAAAATCCCAAACAGACATAAGACTGCAGTACTAATTAATATGTTTTAGCTTATTCTAATTTCTATTAATAATTAATTGAACTTAATAAAAATTTATTCGATAAAATAATTTGTAAAACTTAATATAGCGTAAATTGGAATGTTTTCTTTGTAAAATTAAAAATAAGGTATTTAATTAATAACTATTGTAACTATAGTGAAAAAATAGGGTGGTTTGCGTCAATATTAGACATAACTGGTTGAAGACTGTACCACCTCAGTCAACCGTGACCATGGGACCTGTAAAGGGCCCGAAACGTTCGGTTTGTTTGAAAAAACAAATATACGCGATTTAAATCCGGAAAAATAGTTTCATTTTCTATGTGTAACAATCGCGAAAACCTAAGAACTCGATATATGTGAACAACTTAACAAAATAATAATATAGAAATTTAAACTTTACTCCTAAAAATTAAAACAAGCGTTTGAAAGATATATACAATAATTATGTATACATTCCAACAGTCACCAGTCTAAAACCTGACTGTAAGTAATTATGTCAATCAATTCTGTTTGCCTATAAATTCAATAAATACATAATCAATCTTCTACCACCAACATTTTTGAATGAATAAAAAATTTGTACTAAGAAGCAGTCCAAATTCATGTTTCAAGAACTTTGGGTAAGGTAGAGTTAATGTTATAAAATTCTATTCATAGTGTACTTTGACGACTAATATAAAAAGAGATTTGCGAAATATAACACTCTGATCGTCCACTAAAAACTACGTATAATTTATATAATTGTCATTTATACTCTTACATACTTGGTATGTTTAAAAAATACTTTTAAGCGTGAAGTGAATTATGAAATAATAATGTTGTATTCGAAGCAACGCGCTTAGGTACTATTAGAAAAAGCGTAGGTTTAGTTAGCCTTATACATTAAACGAAAAAAATAATTTGTCATTTTATATCACTTAACGAGAAAATATGCAATGTAACATAAGAAAATATTCTATGTAATCGTGGGTATCCATTAGGTTTGCGAACCAACTGTGTTCCGCGCATTTGCGACTGCTCCACTAGTGGATACGTTCTCACACAACGTTGCACGCTTTTGTTGACGCGAAGGAAGCAAGACGTTTTAGCAGAATCGATGCGCTAACCTAACGGAGCACTCGGTTTTCTTGTAGTGATGCGCGGAACGTCTCCATTTAAGCGGTTATAAATGCGCGGAGCAGAGTTGGTGCGTGGTACACGTACACCCATACTTATTAAATTCCAGTGGTATAAATAGTATGTTCTAATAATATTAAACATATGTATAGTGCCGTTTCTGCACAACTATGCCTAAATGGGAAGTTGTGTAGTACTTCAGATTCCTATTTCGAGTGCTTTAATGTTGGTTTCGATTTCTTGGAACAGATATATAGAATTACGATTCTAAAAATATCATACAGACTTAAGGTAACGTAGGGCCTCTCTCAAATGTATCTATTCTTAATACGATTTAGGTATTGTAGGGTGTGAGAGATTTGAGTTTAGGCGAAAACGAAATCTATTAATACATTACAGAAGGATTTTTAGAAGTGATATAAATAGCCCAGTAGCACTTCAATCTATTCGTTTGTTAGCGCCTCAAAATTATACGTGATTAGGCGTTCCATGCCGCCTTCAACAGTTTGCGACACCAGACGCCTGCAATTCCTCCAAGCCTAGAGCTTGTCTTGCTCAATACTCTCTTGGACGATATGTTCACCGATAAGTTACCGAAACTAATAAATAATTTTGACATTTTTCTGAATAACTACTTGACATGATCATAGAGTGTACTTAACATTACTGATTATTATATTTTTATTGTTTTATTTTTTTTCTGTCTTATGAGCATTGGAAGTGTTTTGGGTGACACTGTAAACTCACAATGTATATTACTAAATAAACAAATAAATGGCGTTTCAGGTGGTAGACATAGAGTATATCCCCGTGATCCCGTTTAACAGAGGTCCGCCAAAATGCTTACCATTTCCAGTAGCTGCTTCAGCACCTTGTTCATTGACTTCAATAAATGCTTTTTGGACGGCTTTACTCACGTACAGCCTTTCTCCGCTCTTTAACAAACGACTCAATTGGGCTTGTTGAGGTTCAAAAATCCGTTTCACATCGAGCTGAGAATATTTAAAACATTATATGATATATATATAGTGTATATATTATATATAGTATATTTAATACGAAAAAATTATGTGATTTTGGAGAAATTTGATGGTTTACTGTTTATTGTGATACACAATAAACGGTAAACGACGTCATAGATACCTATGACGTCGTTTTTATGTCGATAAATTAATGTCAATGTAAATTTACATTTTTTATAAATAATGTCTTTATTCGGTAATGTATGCTTCTATAAACAGGGTACCCCACGGCTATGCGACACGGAGGAAAGAACTTTAAATATATAGATATAAAGTAGATGGGATATTTTGTCAAACTAAGCTTTATTTTTATAATCTCAGTGCAGAGTACTAAAACCGACCTCAAAAGTTATTAATCCCCTAGTTTGCCACCCTTGAAAGGTGGAATATTTTCTTCAAATTTAAATGGGACTAGTATTGTATCCTTTTTCCAACAAAAAAAGAATCACCAAAATCGATTCACAAATAACATACATACACAACGCATATGCACAACATATACAACGCGTGAATATCGTCGCTTAAATGCTTAACGGCCGCAAGTCAAAAGTTCACTTTTTTACAGGAGAGGCGATCAAAGTTTTCGACCACATTTTTTAAAATGTTAAAATTGTTTTATTTTTAAATACCCATGTATTTATACTCAAAATATGCGTATCATAAGGTTCTATAAATTTGTAAACATAGACACAACTCACAAAAGGACTATTTAGCTCAAAAGTTAGCCACGAAAGTGCGGAATGCCAAACGGGCATTTGCGTTTGCGTGACTTCGTGTAGTATTAAAGTTTGACCGTTTTCAAACACATTTTTGCAATAAAAACATTTTTAAATTTTTTTGTGATGCGGCGGTTTAGCATTTATGCGACGATATATACAAAAAAAAATTCAGAACCTCTTCCTTTTTTTTGAAGTCGGTTGAAAAGTAACTAGTACTGCATTCCAAGCGAAGTAATGCGAGCATTAGTGCGTGCCTGATTTTGAAGGGTAAGGGTGCTAGTGAAATCACTGGCACATGGGACTTGTTAAGTTATGTCTCAGGGTAACGAATGCAGTGGCTGTGCAGATTAGAGCAGATCTTTGCAATTTAAAACTGTGATTGGCATTCCAACATTGCTCGTGACGACGATGCTGATGTTGCATTCATAGCGACTATAATGGTTGTCACCGGCCAAATACAATAAAATAATTTATTTCATATTATCAATATTACTATTTAAAATATAATATCAAATGATAATATGATCGTTACCGATATAAACTAAATGATTATAAAATAGAGTAGTATAACTAAAGAATATACATAAACTCAAATAAAAATAAAATTACAATTTCTTGGAAAGAAATTTCTCTACACTGTAGAATTAATTCATTATCCAATTAAACGAGTTTTTGTAGGCAAAATACGTTTCGTCGTTTGTGTGATGAATCCAGTTTTTGATAAATGTTAAATTTACACTTATAGAAGATGGCTACTTGTATTACGTGGTTACATGTGAGAGCAATAAAAAGTAGTTTAAAAGTAGTAAAAGCGTGCATTTTATTTTAAAAAGTGTTCTACGACATACCAATTTGTAACACTTTTCAGGTTTGTAGATAGGCGTTCATAGAATCGGGAACCTATTTTCCGCGGATTTCTTGTTTAAAATTCCGTTTTCTTCATTTCGCAGGCCCGGACTCCGCCCGTATATCGCTCAAGTTAGTGTTCAAGTTTTAACGCGCATAAATTATTATTATAGCATATATTGTGAATTCATTATATGGTGTTTTATTACTTGACCATTACACAACATCTAGATAGAGCCTACAATATTCCTAGCATTAACCGTGCTGATGTTATATCCGGAGAGGTTAGCTTATTCTAGTTAATTTAAATCCAACTTAGATTCGGGTGCACAGGAAGGTAAAGTGGCTAACTACGACAGTTTTTTTATGATACCAAATGACGGGACAAATAAGTCGTGCGCCTGGTGGTAAGCGACATGCCTGTCCATAAAGTTGCAATGCCGTTCAAAGCTTTAAAACGCAAAGATCTGAGGGGTACTTCCACTGCGCCCGTCACTCTGATACATAAGTTGAAAAGTCCCATGTGCCTGTAATTTCACCAGCAAATTTATCCTTCAAAACTGAAAGGCAATCGAATGGACAAGTTCTTTCACAAGGAGCTCTACGCTACTACAATTACAATATGTGCAATGCTTACTTTTTTAAGAACATCCTTAAGATTAATTTCGGTTTCAATCTTGAATTTAGGCAATGCTACATTAACGGTAAAAGTGGACATCTTTGAAGTAGCTGATGTCAAGGCGGAAGGATCTTTAAGTTTTTCTACGAGAGCATCAAGACCGTCAACTTCTTTGGGTAGAATCACGATGAAAGAGGCTTGAAGTCCTGAATAAGGGAGCTCCAGCACCTAGAAACATGTTTATGGTTGTATTTTTTTTAATTAAAACAGGATCTAGAGCTGAGGAGATTTTATTTATTATATCCTGATGAAGGGTTTGCATGTATCTGTGTAAATAATAATTATATTAATACTTCCTACATTCACAGATGAAATTTATTTAATTATTTTACCTGAGCATTCAACTCGACGCTATCATAATAGCTGAAGAAGCTTCGTATGTGCATCATTGGAACTTTGATTGTTTTGTCTTTAGAAACGTGGAAGTCTTCCTCCTCGGTGTTTTCATTGTTGAAAGGTCTGTTCCAAAGACCCTATATTTTTGAAAATTTGTTGAGAATAAAAAAAATAAAAAATAAAAATATTGTGCATAGTAGTTATAAGTAGGTTTACAATTTGTTTTTTAATATCAATCACATTATGAATTGTAAAAGTTTATAATATGTTTTTGAACTTTTGACATTTTCAATTCACTTACTTTGAAATAAATAGCGTTGACCAGTACACTGCGAGTGTCGGAATCTAAGCTATCTGCCGATACTAAATCTTTGATACGTTTGTTGGTTTGATCTTCGACCTATGAAGTGAAGAATGAAATGATTTTAATATACCAATTGTTCAACAACAAGCATCTATTATCTATTATTTAGGATAGGAACTGTTTACCCAACTATTGATTTCTTTTGCGGTTTCTGTGTTCTTCGTAAAATCTACGTTCTTCACCTCAGACTTGAAGACATCTTTGATGACGTCAGAAAATTCTGGATTCAACTCAAAATGCTCAGCAACATATATTTTGCTAGCTGTTTTGAGCTCTATACCTCTTACTGATTGCAACTTGTCGTTCAGCCGAGGAAACGCAGCTTTTGTCTAATAAGGAAAAAAACATGTCAACGAAACTTAGTTTGAGATGTATCGGTTTATGCAAATTTAATTTGTTTAAGTCACTGGTAATAAAATGTGTTCAATGGTCGAGATCGTCTTTCATCCGAATACACCACACACATGTCAGAATTTACTTACATCAATATCGTTACGGAGACCAATGGCCGTGAGAAGCTCATCATGGGTTGCGCCTTCCGATGCCAAACTAAGTTGGGCCAGAGGAGTGAACACAGAGAACGCAGACAATACCACACTTTTATTCGGGTTGCTCATTACCACTTCCTGTAAAAAAAATCCTTTATGTCGTCACGCGAGTGTTTCGTGTTTTTGTAACGAAATTTTAGAAATTTTAAACGATACGGTACCTACAACAATTTGAAAAGGTCAATAAAATTGATTTCGTGATATAATTCTGTACACTATATGGATAATGTGTTTTTCGGATATACACTAACACTTGAAACGTTTTCTTTTTATTTTATTATTATACCAAGTGACGGGATGAATAAGTAGTGCGTCTGTTGGTAAGCGACACGCCTGTCCATAGCAGTTGCAGTGCCACTCAGAGCTTTAAATCACGAAAATCTGAGGGGCACTGCAGCTGCAACGTCACTCTCAGACACAAAATGACAAAACAGAGACACAAGTCACATGTGCCTGTAATTTCACCAGCACCCTTACGAAGTACTGCTCACATTACTGCTTGGCGGCAAAAATAAGTACTTCCTTGGATGAACTCTTTCACAAAGAGCTCTACTGCTTCTCAAGAGTTTTAAGTTCCAAAATTTAATAACCTAAGCTCCGTCGTATCCAATTGAACAAACCATTTTGGAGAAGTCTTCTTAGCTATTTTAATAATTTTCTATCCTTCTTGAAAACAGATTCTTATTTCGATAGGTGAGAAATTATATTTCCTTTGTAACATTATATAATAGTATGCAGCATTACTGCATGGTTCATATTTTCGAAGTCAACTTTTTTCTTGTTAAATTTAAGTTTATGGACTCAGGCTGACTAAAGATACAAACGACATTTGAATAAGGTAAAGCGCCAAACCCTATGAGAGCATTCAGCCAATCTCCTCAAAGGGAAAGATTTTACTCTGTTTGTTCTGAGTGGTACGTAAGTGTCTAATTCTAATAAACTCAAGAACAATCTTATTATACACTTAAGTTCAGGAAATACGCTTTTTTATCTACAAGTAATTCATATAAGTCGTATTTATTCTAAGTAACTAATTCATGGTACCTATTCAGTTAGTATGTTGCAACTGTGGTTGCAAGCTTCCTATTGCGGTGGTTTTGTACTTATGAAATGTTACTAATTTTTATCTTTTTCACCGTATTTATTGATAAATCCTGTGGTAGCAAGTTCACATCCCGGTCAAATAGCATTGTTTTTTTTTCTTTACTTTTGTGTAGAAATTAGTTTAACCACATGTATGGTTTAATCATTCGTTTTTGGTTAAAAAGTGAGTTTATTTACTTTTTTGTTTACTTTATATATTTAATCCCTTTTAGCCTGTTATTAATATTTAAGGGTAATATTCGGTAATTGTTGTTTATAGCATAGTTCAATTTTTTTCTGTATTTATTCATGCTGTATCTAATCACTGTTTGTACCATTACCAAAAGAAATTTAAAAAAATATATAATCGTTTGTGATATTGCCATCACACTTCTGTTAAGGTTCCATTTACTATAGAACTTCAAATTGTACCTTTTTATAAGTATAACAAATGGGTGTGTTATAAGTGTGTTGTAAGGGGTCTGCGACTTCATAACAACTAGTGGTATAATTCCCGTATTTTATAAATTACCTTTGTAATTCTAAAAATTGTAACATACTTGGGCCGCACTATAAGTTTCCGGAATGAATAAGAAAAAAATACTATAAATGGTCAGAAATTAACTTATTGTTTCTCAAAACATTCCCCGTTAGCGTTAATGCACTTTTTCATACGAATGAGCCAATTTTGAAAGATTTATGCCACTCCTCGGTGACAATCTCTGAAACATATTTTTCATACTCTTCGACAGCCTCTTCAGGTAATGAAAACCGTTGACTGCATAACTGGTTCTTAATTTTTGGAAATAAATAAAAGTCACAAGGTGCCAGGTCGGGACTGTACGCGGAATGGCTCATAAGGTCAACATTGTTTACCTTCAAAAATTTACTTGCCTGTCTGGCCGTGTGAGAACTGGCATTATCGTGGTGCAAGATGATACGGCGTTTACGGTTATTTTTACGGAGTTTGTCAATAACTTCCGGCAAACAAATGGTCGTGTACCAATCACTATTCACGATACAATAATCTCCAAAGCAACAGTAGCGACGTGTCCAGTTTTAATAAAAAAAGAAAGCAATCATCCGCTTAAAGGCACTTTGCTCGCGCGCCACCATGGTTGGTTGCGGCTCATCCCAAAAGACCCATACGCTCGATTGCTGCTTTGTTTTGGAATCGTAACTATAAATCCATGTTTCGTCATCTGTTACTATATCTCACACCAAATTTGACGCCCCTTCGTTGAATCTGGTAAGCATGGCATTGCACCAAGTGACGCGATCCGTTTTTTGAGCCTCAATCACATTGTGTGGGATTTGGGTGAGAGCACAGCTTTTTCACACCCGAATGTTTGTGTAGTATTGATTGTGTTTGACTCATGCCTATGCCTAAAGATGCCCGAATCTCCAGGTACATCACATACCTGTCTGTTTTGATCATGCGGCGCACAGCATCGATGTTTTTGTTGTTCACAGCAGTGGACGGGCGACCATTACGAAATTGATCACTGAGATTCACACGACCGCGTTTGAATTCTGCAAAACCAGCTATAAATAGTCGCGTTGCGTGGTGCTACATCACCAAAAACAGTTTGAAGCCAAGCGAAGCTCTGCTGAGCTGTTAAATTACACTTAAAGTCGTAGAAAATCATACTACGCGAACTTTCAAGAGTTAAAACCATGGTGATGTAGACAACCAATTTCTGGAATGACGCCACAATGTAAAAACAAGTGACAGTTAGATGAAACAAACTGTATTTTAGAGCCAAAGAGTTCCATTTTCAAACGTTGTAATTACTTTTTAAATATTGTTTATGTAAGTGGCCAGTTCCGGAAGCTTATAGTGCGCCCTATGTATTAGTGGTTTGGTGATTACTATTTAGTTATTATACATTGTAATCTAATAATTGTAAGAAGTTTATAGATTGTAGGCAGGTATCAATAATGTGTTAGCAGAGCGACAAGCCGTCTGTTTTAAAGTTTTTAAGGTTTTATTTCCATCACGTCGTAATAAATTGTTTTGGCGTTTAAATTTAATTTTCCGTTTGATTCGAGACGTGGCCTTGGTCCCAAGTAGTGAGTTAATCCCCATATGCTACAAATACTACTAAGATACGGAGATTGATTGGTGGGTGACGGGGAGAGAGCTTATGCTTGGTGTGAATTGAATTCAGAAGGAATATATTTTTGCGCCAACGTCGGTGCAAGCGTTCATACCGTTGCCATGGATGAATAGGGTATCAACTAAAAAATTTCGACTTTTTACTTTAAAATGCAGTCCTCAAAACATATATAGACATAATAAACATAAAGTTAAAAATATTTATTTCTAAAACGAAGACGATTATTTCAAGGTAATACCTTTTTGGGGTATTTTTTCATTTAATTGTTATGGTAATCTATAGTACTTACTTACAGAGTAATTTTTGATATACTATTATGTTCCTCAATGTTCTATCGAATTGAATATTATTCCTTCTTTTATTTAAAAGTATTAAGCATGAATTAGTCAGTTAAAACTCTAAATCACAAATATTTTATATTCATAAAGATAATATTATAGAACTCTCTGAACAACTTTAGGATTTTGTCAAAACTACGGAACTGAATAGAATAAGTACAATAAGAAGAAGAACAACATACACAACACAATATTCGAAAATACTGTTAAATGTGCTTCAAATACATATAGGAGAGGAGAACCAGATAACAATAGCGGCTGAAATAATGCTAGAAGAAAGTTTGCAGTTGCAGTCCCGAAAAATCTGTGTTTTTGAGCGAATACCCTGTTCATCTGGACCAACGTACAAATCTTTCATTTATGAGCATTCGGCTTCGCACGGCGGACAACGTTATTTTCACCTCTCTGAGCGTGTGCTTATGTTCCTTTTTCCTTGTAGTGAGCGCCTGGTGTCATTAGTCAGATTTAGTAGGCTATTATAGCGTAGGTATTTTCGATTTTGTATGAGAGTGATGTGTCTGTTAAGTAACTATGGTAAAAATATTCATGAAATGAATACTATATATGGAAATAATTTATGACTTACAGAGAACATTTTTGCCGTGAATTGGTTGCTTGCTTCCGTAAGGAGGTTGTCTTGTTGGACTGTATCTTGCTGGCCTATGGCTGCTGCCACGAGTACCAATACTGTAATACAAAGGTTTAAAAGTAATTTTTCTAATGACTTTAAAATGTCAGACAGCCCAATCAGACCGGCCGAATACTTGAAAAATGTCTGTTGGTGTTGGATGAGGAAGGCTCAGACTGAACGCTCGCTGCTGTGGCGTAACTTGGAAGAGGCATTGTTCTACTGAATAGAGTCCAATAATGATAGTGTTAACAGTTTATTTCCATAAGTACATTATATTATTTGTAAACTTAGGCAAAATGTATCGCGTTTACTCATGTGTTGTATTCCTAAATTATTTGATCTACGCCTTGGCTACGTATTTTTTTTCGCACACACTCATAACCCCACACTAGGGAAACCCTTTGTCTCGGATGACATGGACACACACATAGACAATCACAAATTACACCCAAACTCGGGAATCGAACCTGGGACCTCTGCGTGGCAGATCAGCATGGTAGCCGTTCGGCTACGGAGACAGTTAATTGTAAAAAGCCTTCGAATTTATATGTATAATAACTGTCTACCTTTTCATCTCTATGTGAGTGGTGTTTTATTATAAATTGTAAATTACCTTGATATGGTATTTTATAGTGTTATATTATGGCATTGATAATATGAAATTAATGATTCCATTGTATCCGTTAGGTACCGTAAAATAAAATTTTAATAAACATAATGCAAAGTAGTTATATATATATATATCAATTGTGATAACCTGAGATAAAAAACAGAATTAAATAAAATTATCATTTATAAATTACGTACATAACCTTGACTCTGATCGTACTGTATGTACAGACACTGGAACACGTTTTGTAATCTGAGTTAAGGTCGAAAAATTACACTCGGAAATAAAATTATTTATGCAGATCTAAGGGAGAGGCCTGATGAGCGTAATCTTTTGAGTTGTGAGTACCTAGCGTTTTTTGACTTGCTTAATTTAAAAAGTCCGGTTTGTGTCACTCGATGACGCAAAATGCGTTGTCTACGACTTACCAGGTTTAAGTAAAATATTCGAAAAGGTTATATTGACTCAACTACTGTCGTATTTCGGTACGAATTATATTTTTCATAGTGAACAATATGGGTTTACTAGTGGTAGATCGACTAGCGATGCGGGGGTAGCACTACTAAAACACATCTTTGATGCTTGGGAAAGATCCCAGAATGCTGTTGGGGTTTTCTGAGACCTCTAAAGGCATTTGATTGCGTGGATCGTATAACTCTTATTAGGAAGCTGGAATATTACGGAGTAAGTGTCAAGGCATTGGAACTTGTCATATCTTAACGGTAGAATTCAGAAAGTAGACATAAATGGAGTGACTTCTTTGAGTTCTCCAGTAAAAACGACCTTTCTTATTTCTCATTTATATTAATGATCTACCATTCTTTGTTAAGGACCTTTGCGAAATAGTATTGTTTGCTGAAAACAGACAGATATGACGTTAACTATGATAATATATTAATTATATGATGACTACTATGAATGATACCCTTTCAAAGATAGTTTATTGGTTTAATATTAACAATTTATTGCTCAATGCCAAGAAGACAAAGTGAGTTAAATTTAAATTACCTAATGTAAAATCGACTAGTCCAATCATAGAAATAAATGGAGAAAAGTTAGACCTTGTTAATAAAGCTGTCTTTTTGGGAGTGACCTATAGTAAACTCCAATGGTTTCCACATATATCTTCCTTGGCCAGCAGATTAAGCTTTGCTGCATACGCAGTCCGTGGGATAAGTGAACTTATCGATGTTGCTACTGATAGACTAGTTTACTTTAGTTACTTCCATAATATAATGTCCTACGGGATTCTCATGTGGGGTAAAGCGGCAGATATACAAACCATATTTGTGTTGCAAAAACGAGCGATTCGTTCTGTGTACCCTTGGATTTCTCTTAGAGAAAAGTTTCATGAGACTGGTATCATAACTGTGGCATCTCAGTACATATAAAAATGTACATATTTTCGTTGAGAAAGAAGATATCTATAATATTAACCTTAGAACTAAGTCCAAACTCAAGGTACCACGTTTTCGTTTAACTAAGGTAAACGATTCTTTTATGGGAACTGTATACGTTTTTACAATAAGATTATATTAAGGTTACCATTTTCTAAGTTTAAAACTACCATTAACTGTTTTAAGTGAAAAGTCATATTACAAAACTTCGTGTTAGATATAGAATGGAAAGACAACGTGAGCCTAGATTCCACACAAATATGATTCAAAATGTATTCTGTAGCATTTAAGTTTATTTGAAAAGAGCAATCCCTAGAGTTTCTTGCTTGTTCTTTATCAGTGAGGTCAGCGTAGTAAACGAGCAGTAGCTTAAAAAATGACGTTTTCAAGTGTAAAATTTTACCTATGGAATAAATGATTATTTGAATTTAATGATAATAATAATAATAATAATACTTTTTATTTCTCCACAAAATACAACAACAAATAAGAAGTACATAAACAGTCTTAGTAATTTTAGAACAGTATTTTGTAAGAGCTGGTGCTTGATATAGATTTAACACCTGTACTACAAGTCACCAGGCAAATGAAACATATGTTACTTGCAAATGAAACATATGTTACTAAGTATACATATACCAACCACAAATTATATCTATGAGAGAAAAAAGAAAAAGATGACAGAAATTAGAATATTCATATAAAAAAATAAAAAATAAATAAGTTACGGTAACAGAAAAACCTTCGAGATAATTCTTCTATGTGCGCGCGCTGTGTGTGTGTGTGTGTGTTTCCATTTTGTCCTCTGGACGGTGTTGAGACAACACACCCTTACACCTTATGACAGTGGCTCTGATAGGCGAAATTGCATAGTGGCCTCTTGTGACCGACTGAGGACTGCTTTAAGCCACAGATTGTTCTGCTTCCTTGGATATTTTCTTTACAATAAACTCCATCGACAGCTTCACATTTTTGGGTTAAATAATTTCGAATGTAAGAAGAGGTTGGCACATTGGTTGCAAAAATTAAATTATGATGATACGGAAAAGTTACTTCATCCAATAGTCTGACACAAACATAATGATCCGTTACTGGTACACACACTTACATGCACACGCACACACATGTATCCAAATTACGCACAACCAAACACACAC